ACCGGCACCGCCACCACTGACTGTGTATTTGGCTGTGTGTATTTGCTGTGTATTTGCTCACAGGCCAAAAACACAGTGTATTTTGTGTATTTGCTACCCCCACCCTGTGTATTTAACATCTAGGCTTCGCACCCCCTCCTTGCGCAGTGTCCCCCACTATGTGTCGCCGTTATCGGGGCACGCTATCCTGTGTAGTCAGGGCAAGTGGGGGCGGGGGGCAGTCCCTCTGGTCCGATACTGGTGTGGTTCTGTCTCTAGTCTCGGAGGGGGGCTTGAAGCCAAGAATATTTTATTTTGGTGATGAGCCACGAGGGCGTGGACACCCACCGCAAGACGGAGCTGTACCTGACCTACTACGACATTCTGGTGCGACACGCGTTCGGAAGCTACAAAGAGCTGCTCCGCGAGGTGTCGTACAGCCCGGTGATGGCCAAGTGAGACGGCGCTCTGACGCTGTTTGTGCCGCGAAGCTCGCGAGTGATGCGTCTGCCTACGCGCTGGCGGGCGGCGGCGGCGGCAGCGGCGGCTGGAAGACCAGCCTCTACGTCGACGGCAAGCTCTGGGGCGAGGTTGGCACCCGCGCGTGCGCGGCGAGCATCACTTCTCTCGGAGGCGCGCTCCCCTACCCACCCACCACGACCACGACGACTAGGGGGTGACACCGCGGGGAGTGATGACCAGAGGGGTCCGGTCAGCCGCACCTCTCTCGACGTGACCTCTCTTGACGTGAGGTCTCTGGGACGGCAGGGATGAAGCTGGAGCGAAAGGACGAGACCAAGCAGTCGGTGAGGGGCGTCTCTTCGCTCCGCGTCTTCGACTACCCGCTCACCGCTGCAAACGTCGCAGCCATCCACGTGCAGCGCCCGCTGCCGCCGCCGACGCTGCTGCCCCGCGGTGGGCCGGTGCTAGCGAGGCCTCTATCCCGTGCCGGGAGTGCCGGCGGAGGCGGGGCGTCGGCGGCGGCGTCATCCTCGGCGGCGGCAGCGTCATCGGCGGTGGTGCCGCCGCCGCCTCGGAACGGAGGCGGCAGAGGCGGCGGCGCGGGCGGCGGCAGCGGCGCAGGAGGCAGCGGAGGGGGTGGCGGCGGTGGCGCCGCCGCCGCCGCCGCAAAAACGACCGCTTCGCCCAGAGCCACGGAGCCCGCCGAGAAGCTTCCGGCGGCGAAAGCCGCTGAAAAGACCGGCGCATCGAGCGCCTCTGCGAGCGCCGCTGTGACGGGCGGCGCCGCCGGCAGCTCTGCCGCGAGTGGCTCTGAGCCGATGGCGCAGCAGCAGGCGCAGGCGCAGCAGCAGGCGCAGCCGCAGCCGCAGCAGCAGGCGCAGGAGGAGGAGGTGGCGGCGGCGGAGGCGAAGATGAACGCGGCGTCGAACGAGGCGAAGGCGAAGAAGAAAGCGTTCTTAGAGGTGGACAAGGTGTTGGGCCAAAAGCGTAAGGCGCGCGAGGAGGCCGAGCGCGAGGAGGCCGAGGCCAAGAAGAAGTGGGACGAGGCCAAGAAGAAGAGGGAGAAGGCGGCCGAGGAGGAGAAGGCGGCCGAGGAGGAGAAAGGGCAGGCTGGACACGAGACGGTCGACGCGAGCAAGCGCTTTGAGGCGGCGTCGTCGGCGTACTTGGAACTTCTTTTGAGGCTCTAGAAGCGAGGGGGCAGGCATGACGGCCGGGGTCCCTCGCGGCTAGAGTCGCTGATGCCGCATGACGCAGGCGGCGTCTTGCAGTGGATGACCGGCGGCGCGTCGCGCAGCGTGTACGTTGATGTGCGGTGCATGTGCACAGAGAGTCGACAAGTCCCACGGCGAGTAGGCTGTACGGCTCGGCACCTCGGGGAGAGATGGCGCTGCTCTTCGACGGGATCGACGTGGTGCCGCGAGTATCCTCCGAGCTCGGCGCTGAGCGGAGAGGATGGAACAACAACTGGACACAGACACGAGACGACCAGAGACATACCCGCGAGTCAGTACGATTGTCGCGATATATATAGGAGATACCAGTACCCCATGAGTGGATCATTCACAATTGTGTGTGTTCTCCGTGTACGTCGCGTAGCACACACATGTATACGACACTACGAAGGCATGAGGGTCGCATGTACAAAATGATGCACACATGCACATCAATGCTGGAGGGGACTGGTGTGCTGCACAGGACAGCATTACGTTATACTGCCCACACAGGCACAGCGCACCGCCACCGGCCAGCCCCCCCGCGAGCAACATGCTCCGCGATCATGCTGGGGGACGCGCGTCGTCTCGGACGGACACTCCGACTCGGAGTCGTCGCCGCACGTGGCTCGTGGGATAATTCGAAAGACGAGAGCGAGCGGAGAGCAGCTCAGCCCTCAGCGCGACAGCGCCTCAGGCCTCAGCAGCGCGCACGGCGCGGGCCTGAGGTAACCCGTAACCGCGACCGGCCCACGCCACCGTGCAGAGGTGCACCGGGAGACCACGCGCACCCCCCCACCACACCCATCGATCGCGGGACACAGCACACAGGTGTCAGGTCACAGCTCACAGCACACGCACGACACACCGCACACACTCGGCGGGGCGGGGGGGGCGGGACGTAACATATACGGCTTATCCTCTTCGCTTCCCGCGCCCGGCCCTAAGCGCCGGCCTCTCATGGCAGGTGACGAGGCGGCTCTCTGTCCCTCTCTGGACGTCAAGCTCAAGGCGTTTGCATGTGACGCTTTCCTTGGTGGACCACGTAACGCCACGGCCGCAAAAAAGACACCGCACGGCTATCCAGAGTTTCAGACAATGCTGCCCTGTGTCGAACCCCGCCAAGCCCAACCGCGGCCCGGAGAGCCTCATAGGCTCGCCGCCAGCTTCACAAGCGCGTCCGTCATGAGCGCCGGGTCCTTCTTGGAGACCGCGGCGGCGAGCTTTGCCACGTCGAGCCCGGCGACGCTCGTGACGCACTTCTTGGGCGCCGCGTCTGGAGTCTTGGGCTGCGTGCAGCCGAGCTCGCCCGCTAGCGTCGCCCACTCCTTGGCCTCCACCAGCCCGATCAAGCGGACCGCCTCGTCACTCGCCGGCGTCGACGAACCGGCCGCCTTGAGGGCGTCGCTCGCTTTCCGAAGGCGCATCTCATCGTAAGCGCTGAGCATCTTCAGCGGCTTTAGGCAGACGTCCTCTCGCCCGGCGGCGACAACCTCGCACGTTTTCGCCATCTCGCCGGTGGGGTAGAATGGCGACGGCACCAGCGCAGGCGGAGCCTGGTTTGCTGCCTCGCCATACGCGGCAACTGCTCGGAGCGCCGGCGCACTGGCTGCGAACGCCGCGCCTATCACACCGCGACGCGAGAGCGGCGGTAGTCTGAGACCAGAGGCGACGACGAGCAGCAGAGTGGCGAGCAGCTGTGGGAGCTTCATTCGAAGGACCGGCAAGCGGCGGCGAGCCGGGAGCAAGCAAGCAGAACCCAGCCGCGAAGCGAGAGCTGCCCCCTCTCCTTCACTGTTCACAGATCAAAGAGATATATTTGCCACTTTCCGCACAAACATGGCACCCGACCAGCTGAAGCTCTAGACTCGTCGACCGAGCTCTGGACGAGGCCGACCTCAAACCACCAGCGCCAGCAACGACGTGCCGCGGCTCGCCGCGCCGCTGTTGCGACCGACGACGTGCCCGACGCCGTCCCGCGGCCGAAAGGAAGAGGCCCGCGCAACCACTTCTGGGACCCGCGGCCGCCGGGCGTGCGGCGGCACAACGAGTCGAACGAACCGAACCAGCGCAGAGCGGCGCGTCTCGCGAGCGCCCGCGGCCGCCACGCCGACGCCGTCCGCGGCCGACGGTGGTCGCGAATCAACGCGGCGCGGTGCAACGAGGCCAAGTCCTTCCAGGCTCCCGCCAGCAGCGCCTCGTGGCGTGGGCTGCACGGCCCTTCGAGACGGCCCGGGGGGCGGTGAGAGACCTCTCCCGCCGGCATGGCGCACTATATCACCCGTAGAGGCCTAGCAGGAGCGCTCTGCCTGTGGGGGGTGCTGGCATCTCTGTACAGACAGCAGCTGTAAGTAGCATGCGTTCCAGTGGCGAGAATTTATAGTCGGCATCAAAATCAGTGGTCTCACCGGCGGGCCCTCCTATTGCCAACCGGGAGGTGCGGGGCACGCCAGCCTCTCTTCTAGACGCCTCTCGTGCCTCGCGGCTCCTCTGCTTCAAGGAGGGAAGATACGGCTCTCGCAGCCCATCGTACGCCGTGGCACAGCGGGGAGCACAGCGGGCTGTACAAGATATTGTTCCCTATCTTCGCATGCTCGTCGTTGGTGATATCCGCGCGAGGTCATACGCCACAGGCCAGCAATCACTCGATGATGAGACTACTGATGGAGGCGCGACGCTCTGACACCGAGTGTTGCTCGACACTGCGACACTGCCGAGTACCGCGCAGCGCTTTCTCGCGAGGTGTATTGGGCTCGAAGGCGCGGCGAACACAACCGCCTCGAGCGTACGAGTACCGCTTAAACACGAACCGAGGGCGGAGAGGGGGGGGCGGCGGCGAGGAGGCGGGAGAGCTGGGTCCAGTGCGCTCTGCTGCTGGGGGGTCGGGACCCCCCCCCCCAGCAGGAGCGCTCTGCTGCTGGGGGGGTCGGGACCCCCCCCCCAGCAGGAGCGCTCTGCTGCTGGGGGGGTCAGACCCCCCCCCCTAGCAGCAGGGATGAGCTTAGTTGTGCAGGGGGGGTAGCGAGCAGAGTGCGGCCGCTCTTACCTGGGGGGTTCTAGGGGCCGGGCTGCGGGCAGGGTTTGCCCCCCCAAACTGGCCCGAGGAACCTCTTATATAAGTCTGACCTACTAAAAAACACAACACCGGTATCACCGCACCTCTCAACAACAACACGCGCTCCAAGCGCCAAGAGGGAGACTCTCGGACGACGCTACCCTGCTCTCTCCTCGCTCGAGCACACGCCGAGAGCAGACCGCCATCGTCAGCACACACACCACAAGACGACGACGCTCCACCACAGACGGCCGCCGGGCTGCGAGCCCGGACGGCTCCCGATGCCACGCTCAGCCCGCAGCCATCGCCTCGTCGATCTCCTGCTGCATCGTCTGCGCGCGCTTGTTGGCGCGGATGGCGGCCTTGGTGACGAGCGCGCCGGCTCCCTCCTTGGCTGCCACCTGGAGCGTCGAGTGGCGTGGGATGTGGAGAGAGGTGCGCAAGCGCGGGGCGGCGTGAGACGAGGGCGAGGGGAGCAAGAAGGGGAGTACCGAGGAGGGAGGGCGGGCCGCTTGCCTTGAGCTGGGCGAAGCGCGCCTTCTCCTTGGCCACCGCGGCGCGCAGCTGGTCGAGGTACGCCTCGAGCGAGAGCTGGCCGGTGTCAACCTGCGGTGCGGCGCGCGGAGCCTCTGGCGCGCAGGGCGGGGAGGGAGGGAGGGGGCGTGCGCCGCAGACGCGAGCCTGGATCTGCAGCATCTCTTGGCGGAACTCGAGAGCCTGATGCCTCCCCTCAAATGTGGTCGGTATGATCGCGCCCTTTGCCTGCGGCGGACGGCAGGGGAGGCGGCTAGGGGAGGGAGCACCGAACGCCGAGGGAGCGAGGGAGCGAGCGCCTCCAGAGCCGACCGCATGTTGCTCAGCTCCTCGAGCTCGGCTGCCAGCACGTTGTAGCTCACGATCGAACTCGCGTACCCCATGTCGTCCTCCTCCTCCGCCGCAACCATCGCCGCAGCAGCGCGTGCAGCCTCGCTCAGGGTTGGAACCGCCGGCCCGCCGCCGGCTCCGGCGCCGCCCTTCGCCCCGCCGCCGCCCCTGCGGCTGCCTCCACCTGCACCCTCCCGGCGGACGCCGGCGCTGGCGGATCTGGACGCGGCGGCGGCCGGTTCGGTGGCGGTTCCGATTGCGTATCGCACGCGCAGAGTCACGTCCACGGTGCCGGCGCCGCGGCCCTTTGCGTCGGCGAGGGCCACCTGCTCCGAGGCGGTCGCGGCGCCCACCAGCGCCGACACCTTCACCTCCCCCGCGCCGAGCAGCTCGTCCTTGCCTCCGAGGAACTTGTTCATTCCGGCGGCCGCGCCCCACACCTCGACCCTCCCGGAGCGGCCTTCGCCCGTTGAAAAGTGACGGACCGCGGAGCGAGACCGACGCGGGTCCGTCCCGAGCGCCACGCGTCCGCTGTGCCCCCACGCAGGGCAGCGGCTCCCCGCCGGCACCGCCTCGGTCGTGACGGTGACAGGCTCTCCCGCGCCGCTCACAAAGCCATGCTTCGCCACGCCACTGCCGGGGGCGGGCAGGGACCAGCGGAAGACGGCGTAGCACGAGACGCTGCTGCCCACAGCGCCGCCCAAGACCGCCGACGCCAGCCGAACCTCCATCTCCGTCTTGCTGAGGTCGGGATTCAGCAGGGGGACTGGCGGCGGCGGTGGAGCCGCTGGTGCCGGCGCGGCCGCGGCGCCGCCAGGGTCGGCAGTCTCTCCGGCAGCCTCGCGCTGCAAAGTGCGCATCTCCCTCATCTTTGCGAGCGCCTCGTCGGTCCGGCCCTCTCGCTTGGCCACTAGTGCCTCGCGCCGGAGCTGCTCGATGCGCGCACTCAAAGCATCCTCCGGAGCGTCGCCTCCGCCTGCCACGGCCGCTGGGCTTGCCGCCGCCGGCGTGCCTGCCTTCGTGTCTGCCGTCGCCGCCGCCACCGCCGCCGCCGCCGCCGCCATAGTTGCGGCCGCCTCCGCCTCTGCCTCGGCATCTGCCTCGGCATCTGCCTCCGCCTCCGCCTCCGCCTCCGCCTCCGCCTCTGCGTCTGCCTCCGCCTGCTCTTCCCCAGCCTCCGCCTCCGCCGCCTCCGCCGCCTCGGCCTCGGACGCCTGCGTCCTCTGCCGCTCCACCTCAGCGACGGTCTCCATCACCGCGGCGGCTGCAGCGGCCACCTTGGCCATGGCCGTTGCCTGCGTCTCCTCAGCAGCCACCATAGCGGCTGGCCTCGCCGCCTCCAGCTCCAGCTGCTTGGCCTCCCGCAGCGCCGCCACCGCACCGGCCGCATCGCCCGCCTTCTTGAGCTGCAGCGCCTGCGACTTGAGCTCCGCCACGCGCGCCACCACGGCGGATGCATTCGCGGCGGCACTCGACTGCGCCGCCGTGCTCGCCGTAGCGCCTCCTTCCTCTGCTCCTCCTCCCTCCGCCTCCGCCGCCTCGGCCTCGGACGCCTGCGTCCTCTGCCGCTCCACCTCAGCGACGGTCTCCATCACCGCGGCGGCTGCAGCGGCCACCTTGGCCATGGCCGTTGCCTGCGTCTCCTCAGCAGCCACCATAGCGGCTGGCCTCGCCGCCTCCAGCTCCAGCTGCTTGGCCTCCCGCAGCGCCGCCACCGCACCGGCCGCATCGCCCGCCTTCTTGAGCTGCAGCGCCTGCGACTTGAGCTCCGCCACGCGCGCCACCACGGCGGCGCCGTCACCCCCGTCTCCTGCGCCCCCACCGCCGCCGCCCCCACCGCTGCTGCGCGAACTCTCGACGGCGCCACTGCCGCTGCCGCCGCCGCTGCTGCGTCCGCTGCCCCCGCTGCGGCCGCTGGTGTGCGGCGGGTCGGAAGCGGCGGCACCCTGCTCGAGCGCCTGGAGAGAGCGAGGAGAGAGAGTCGCCTTCTCATTTGGGTGGGCGGACGCTCGGCTGGCCGTGCGGTGCTCGTGCGCCTTTGCTTGCCGCATCAGCTGCAGTGCGCCGGTCGAGTCGCCCGCCTTTTTGAGCTGGAGCGCCTGCGCCTTGAGCCGCGCGGCTGCCGCTGGGTCCGCCGCCGCCGCCGCCGCAGCCGGCGGCGGCGCGGGCGGTGGCGGTGGCGGTGGCGCGAGGTTGGCGAGGATCTCCTCCTCGGGCACGCCTGCCTCGGTACAGGGCTGCCTTGGGGGACTGGTGCCGCGTGACGGAGCCCGGCTAGCGCCTCTCTAGGAAGAGAGACCCTCGGCAGCTCTCTCTGCCGCAGCTCTCTCCGCGGCTCTCTCGGCCGCGCACCCGCCTCGAGAAGCATCCTGCCCTCCGCAGACTCGAGCAGCCGGCGGCGAGCCGCGGCGTCGGCGGCGGCCGGGGAGGTGACGGCGAGCGAGGAGGAGGCGAGCGAGGAGCCGCTGCCGCCCCCCATCGAGGCGAGGAGCATGTCCATCTCGGGCTCCTCCTTGCTGCTCGCCTGCAGGCCAAGCGACGCACACTCCCTCCCCGCCTTCCTCGCCGCCTCCCTCGCCGCCCCTCGCCGTGCCGGCCGCGCCTTCTTTCCGGCCCCGGGCTGGGAGGGCTTGTTCATCGCGAGCACGAGCGCGTCCAGCTCCGGGTCGGGCTCCTCCTCTTGCTTGAGCGACCCCGCGCTCGACCCGGCCGCCATGCTTGCCACCAGAGTCGCGATCTCCGGGTCCGTCTCGGTGCGCGCCGTCGGCGGCGGCTTGAGGGACACGCGGCGGTCGCCGTTCATCTGCGACCGGACGAAGCGGCTTGAGGTGCACGAGGGGAGGCTGTGCGGAGCGAGAGGCGCGTTGGAAGGTCCGACCTGCGCGACCAGGGCGTCCAGCTCTGGGTCGAGAGGAGCCTCGGCCGGCGCGGCGGCCTTGCGGGAGGCGCTGGCGCGGCGCGAGGGAGGGGCTGCTCCTCCCTTTGCGGGGCCGTTCATCGCCTCGAGCAGCGCCGCCATCTCGTCCTCCTCGGCGCGGCTCTTCCCGCGCGGCGAGGGCGGCGGCGGCTGCGAGACTCGCGCCTTTCCCGAGGCGCGCGGCGAGGCCTTTGGAGTCGGCAGGCCGCCCGTGACGGCGTATAGCTCCGCGAGGAGGTCGGGGTCGTTCATGTCGGCATCGGTAACCGTCACGCTCGACGGGTCCGACCCGGCGCCGCTCAGGAGGCTCGCCAAATCCACATCGCCGGGCGGTGCAGCAGCGCGAGCCTTTGCAGGCGGCGCCTTTGCGTCCAGCTGCGCCTGCAGCGCCTTGTACTCGCGCAGGGCCTTGCCGGCCGCGGCTGTGTTCCCCGCTCGCTTCTGCTGGAGCGCCTCGCGCTTCTTCGCCTCTGCTTGCGCCGCGAGCCGTTCCCGCGGGTCTGCTGGCTTTGGCGGCGGCGCCTCGCCCATGATGGCCGCGAGTTCGGCGAGAAGCACCGGATCCTCCATGTCGGCGGCGGTGATGGTGACATCGGCAGCCGTGTCGCTTGCCGAGAAGCTGGGGATCAGGTCGGAGAGCGACATTCGTGCGGATCAGCGGAGCCGACACAAAAGAATTTTAAGCGAACGCTGGCACAACACAGGGAGAGAACGACGAGAGTGGGACGGCCGCGAGGTGGCATGAAGGTTGCAGCGAGAAGCGGCGAGAGACTGCGAAAAGAGATACGAAGAGGCAGACTCCCCAGGGTGGGCGACGGCTAGCGCATCACACTCTCCTCTCCTTAAAATCCCTGTCTGTGTGGTGGCGGCGTGCCGTTCTCCCATCCCTCCCTTGGGTTGTGTGTTTTCTTTCTTTCTTTCTTTACTGGGCACAGGACGGGTGCCGTTCTCCCATCCCTCCCTTGGGTTGCCTGCTTTCTTTCTTTTTTTTTTACTGGGCACAGGACTGGGCACGGGACTGGTGCGCACTGGCACTAACACAGGTACACAAAAAGAATTTTACGACGAAACTCTGGCACAACACTGGGCACAGGACTGGTGCCGTTCTCCCATCCCTCCCTTGGGTTGCCTGCTTTCTTTCTTTCTTTTTTACTGGGCACAGGACTGGGCACGGGACTGGTGCGCACTGGCACTAACACAGGTACACAAAAAGAATTTTACGACGAAACTCTGGCACAACACTGGGCACAGGACTGGGCACGGGACTGGTGCGCACTGGCACTAACAGGTACACAAAAAGAATTTTACAACAAAAGCTCCCACAAAAAAAAATAACAAAAATGGCGCCCGCACGCATGGCGTTAAAGCGGCACTTCTCTCGCGTCGGCTCCGCCGAGCGCTGCACAGAGACCATCTTCACTGACCACCAACGACAGGTGTGCGACTACGCGCTCGTCTACGCGGAGAAGAAGAACGACGGCGAAGCGCCGTACTCGGTCTCCTTCACCGCCACGCAGAACGGCGACGTCATCGTCCAGCTGCACCCGCACTCGCAGCTCGAGCGCGCTGTGCGCCACGAGCGGCAGGCGCAGGCCACGGAGCCGCCTGCGAGCGCGAGCCCTGCGGCGCCGCCCGCCCCTGCCGCCGCGCCGCCAGCCGCGGAGCCGGCGCCCAAGACGTACGCCGCCGCAGCCGCATCGCAGCCGCAGGGTGCCACCGCGGGTGGCCAGCCAGCCGCGCCTGCGGGCCCGGCCGCCGCCGCGCGCGTGCCACCGCCGCCCAGCGGCGGCGGAGTGCACGGCTGCACCTTCACTGTCCCCGACCCGGGCAGGAAGCGCGGGCGGCAGCAGCGCGGCAAGGGCAGCACCAGCCGCGGCCGCGCCGATAATGGACCCCGTCTCGTCGACAAGAACGCGCTCTCGGCGCGCGGCGGCGGGCCCCCACGCCAGTCGCGCTCTCCCTCACCGGACTCGCCGCCCGCCAAGCGGGCTTCCTCCGCCGACTCGTCCGGCTACGACACCGATTTACCGGACGAGGTGCAGCAAGAGGCTGTACGCAAGGTCTGCGGCGCGCTCGGCATGAGGGAGCAGTTCGAGGCGGCGATGGCGGCGGGCGAGCTGCTCGAGATGCTCGAGAGCTTGCCGCGAGGGGCGGTCGAGGCCTCCGTTCGGCTGATGCGCGGTTACAACCGCACGGGCGAGTGGCCAGAGCCCATTCTCACCAGCCCTGCCCCGCAGCGCGGCCGCTCGCCAAGCCCCGTCGATGAGTGGTCAGATGGTTAGTGCCCGAGAGCGAGGGGTCCGGGGGGGAGCACAAACATAGGACGCCCAGCCTTGCCCTCGGTGCCGCCGAGTGCATATCCTATGCGAGAGAGATCCCCTGTGCCCTGTGCCCAGCCCTCTCCGCGCGGCGATGCGCCCTCCCCCCTCGCTTTTGCAAAATCCTGCAAAGGTGGGGACGTGTCTGTCCTCGACCCAGCCCTAGCTTGGGATGTCCGTTGTATTTATTTTTGTTTTTATTTTGGATTTTCTACGACTCTTTGTTTATTTATTAGAAGAAAAGTGCTAAATGGGGCAGGACGATTCAAAACGTGTTCTTCTTGTGAGAGGGGGGCGCAGTACTACGACGCGAAGTGGGTCAAGAAGGCCAAACGCGGCTTGCTCGTGGACACTCTTTGGGTGGCATTGCCCCGCCCACCAAGCAGTTCCTCCACGTGTTCGCCAAGGAGGCGGCGGGCACCAACACGGACCGGACGGTGTACGGGGCGGCGTCGGCGAGCGCCTCCTCCTTCGTCGTCCACCACACGCAGCAGATCTCCAAGGCGGCGGTGGCGGGCGACGCCGAAAACATCAACAAGCAGGCGCGCAGGGAGCGTACCGATTATATCAACAAGCAAAAGAACAAGCAAGCGACAAACGGCTTCTTTGTCCTCGGCCCCAGTGAGTGAGTGGGGGGTGCCCGCGCCGCCTAGCTCTGCAGACTACGGGCCCCTCCACCCTTCGTGTAATCATGTAGTCCCCACATTCGCAATCGTGGGATCGCTTGTCATGTGAGAGACTGCTTTGTGTTGTTTTGCGCTTTCTTGGAGCACTTGGAGTGCAGTCAGTAACCTCACATCCATTTCGGCTCCGCTCCTGATGACAAATAGTCGCCGCACAGTGCAACACGGCTGCTCACACGCCCAGCCGTGCTTTGGTTTGCCTCTTAGATCGCCTCTGCCGCTGAGATACCGAGGCCGAGGCGCACTCGTCGACTTTGACTATTATCTGTCCTCGGGAGGGCGGCGGCGGCCGTGTAGGGGCGGCGGCGCGCTCCTGATGACAAATAGTCGCCGCACAGTGCAACACGGCTGCTCACACACCCAGCCGTGCTTTGGTGTGTCACCTGTGTCCCTGTCTTAACCAGATATCGAGAGCGGCGCGACGACAACAATCCCTAACCCTAACCCTAACCCTAACCCTAACCCTAACGCTAACCCTAACACCCTATGGCTAACCCAAAGTGCGAAGAACTCGGGGCGCATTCACCGAGAGGTGGCCTCGACGGACCGCTAGTTTCTCCATTCCGACCCAAGCGGCCCGTTCTTAGGACCTGCACAACGGCTTGAACTCGCTGACCCTAACCCTAACCCTAACCCTAACCCTCTAACCCTATACTTCCTTCACGAAAACGGTGGATTCAGCTAAAAACAAGGCCAGTCCCCCTGTTTTGTGTTGGCTGGTGATACCTATCGGCACGCCTCTTGGGCTCGGCTCCGCTCGGCTCCGCTCGGCTCCGCTCGGCTCCGCTCGGCTCCGCTCGGCTCCGCTCGGCTCCGCTCGGCTCCGCTCGGCTCCGCTCGGCTCCGCTCGGCTCCGCTCGGCTCCGCTCGGCTCCGCTCGGCTCCGCTCGGCTCCGCTCGGCTCCGCTCGGCTCCGCTCGGCTCCGCTCGGCTCCGCTCGGCTCCGCTCGGCTCCGCTCGGCTCCGCTCGGCTCCGCTCGGCTCCGCTCGGCTCCGCTCGGCTCCGCTCGGCTCCGCTCGGCTCCGCTCGGCTCCGCTCGGCTCCGCTCGGCTCCGCTCGGCTCCGCTCGGCTCCGCTCGGCTCCGCTCGGCTCCGCTCGGCTCCGCTCGGCTCCGCTCGGCTCCGCTCGGCTCCGCTCGGCTCCGCACAGAGGGTGTGCATGACCTAGCTGAGCGCCACAAGCCCAGCTCGTCAGACCTGGCGCTTATGACTTCGAAATGCTAAGCGATCTCCTTGTCCTCGGCCCCAGTGAGTGGGGGGTGCCCGCGCCGCCTAGCTCTGCAGACGGGCCCCTCCACCCTTCGTGTAATCATGTAGTCCCCACATTCGCAATCGTGTGGGATCGCTTGTCATGTCAGAGACTGCTTTATGGTTTCGCGCTTTCTCGCTCTATTTCTAAATTTTTCTAGGCCCAAACCCGCACATGCTCATCCTGCGAGTCGTGCTCCTCCGCGCAGTCTCTGTCGCCGCCGCCTCTCTCAGCACGCCGCCGCCGTCGTCTGTCGTGATTAGCTGCGGGAGCGCTTTCGACGACCGCCTCTCCTGGCTCTGCTCGTTGCGAGCAGAAGGCGGAGCGCCGCTGCTGCGAGTCGAAGAGATTGGGCCGGCGGACAGCCCGCAATACGCGGTCGTGTGCGGCGGCGGGCTGTCGCTGTACCTCTGCCGTGACGCGCCCGCGGTCCCGCTGTCGCTCAGACTGCCAGCCGGCTCGACGCTGCCGCCAGGCGACGGGCCGCCGGCCGGCTGCTCCGCTCACGTGCCAGCCGCCGATCCGTTTGCTGGCTTCGACCGCACCGCGCCGCTGCCGCTGCAGCACCTGCCGCGCTTCCGCCCGCGGCGCCACGTCAGCCGGGCGGCAGGCGCTGGAGGCTGGGGCGTGGGTCGCGCTGGGATGCTCTATCGCGACTTGCTGCCCGACAGGGCGGGCGGATCTCTCATCGTGAGCCTCATCCGGATCGAGGAGGGCGGCGAGGTGCCCGACTGGGTGCACTACCACCGTGTACGCTTCCAGCTCATCTACATCGTCTGCGGGTGGGTGGAGGCAGCACCAAAAGCTGGGATCATCGGAGGATTTCACTGAGCATCGGCAGCGAGCCAACAAAGCGATTGGCACTAGGTGGTCTACGAGGGGCAGGGCGCGCCCTTCGTCCTGCGGCCGGGCGACTTTGTGACGCAGCCTCCCACGATCAGGCACCGCGTGCTGCGCTGCTCTCGCGGGCTCGAGGACCGGCCGGCACACGTGTCCACGGCACGCCGCACGGAAGGGCCGTGAGGACCCGTCCATGACACTGCCGCAGGTGCTCGAGGTGAGCGCGCCGGCGGAGCACGCCACGCTGGCGGACCACGACCACGCCTTGCCGGGCGGGCGGGCGGTGGCCGCAGGCGGAGAGGGCCTCTTTGGCGGCCAGCGCTTCGTGCGGCACGTGGCGGCAGAGGAGAGGGAGGCAGGCGGCGGAGGAGAGGAGGCGCGGGGCGACAGCGGGGCTGGCGCTTCCTTCTCGTGGCTCGAGAGCGGGGTGGGCGAGGCGACGGCGGGGCTGGCGCGCGTGCGAATCGGCCGCCGGACCGGCGCCTCGCTGGCTTGTGGTGGTGGAGGTGGCGAGGGCGGCCGCCAGGACGAGGCGATGGACGTGCACGACGAGGCGATGACGATCCTCTTTGTGGCGCGCGGCGGCGCCACGGTCGAGGCGCCGGGGGGCGGGGAGTCTGGCGAGCCTGTGCCGCTCGCCGAGGGGGACTGCTTGACTCTGCCTCCAGGGCAGCCCTTCCGGGTAACGCCGTCGTCGGACGATGGTGCACGCGTGCTGGACATTCGTTTGGGTATCGAGGCTTTCGCTTGAGATGCACCGCTTGCGTAGTAATTTTTAGCATAACTTTTAGCTTACGGCAATGGGAGAAAGAGGTGGTGAGGTGCATGCACTGTCTCAAGCCCACGGTTCGCTCTCCGGTCTCACGACAAATGACAAGTTGGGACACATCGCCCCCTCAAACTTAGCGTGTCGCCCCGCTGTCCACAGCAACCTCTTGCCACTCAACATGCCGGTGCGCATAGCGGAGGACGAAGGCAAGCTGCTCATCCCATCGCCAAATGCGGAGGACGACACGAGTTTCGCGAAGTCGGATGACGACGCCAGTGTAAAACGATCGGTCCCAGAGGTCCGACGGCTCGCTGCACTGCTGGCCGTTCCGCTTCTGTGGGGCACCTTCACTCCATCGATGAAGCTGCTGCTGGCGGTGCGCGAGCCGCCTCCTGCGCTGATCATCAACCTGCTCAGCCACGTTGTTGGCGCGGCCACGCTTCTCGCCGTGTGGTGGGTGCGAGGCTGCACTACCCGAGACGGGTGCACTGGCTCTCGGCGTTTGCCTCATGTACTGCACAGCACCCGCTCACAGCGGTGGCGACTTTGCAGGTGCGATGCAATCCTCGACCCTTCGAGGCGGAGGCGGGCGGCGTGGGCGAGTGGCGAGCTCGGCGTCTACCTCTTCTTCGGGCAGCTGACGCAGATGCTCGGCCTGCAAGGCACCTCCGCCACCGTCAACGCCATCCTCGTGCAGGCGCCCGCCGACGCGCCGTGCCTAGCCTCGAGCAGGACCCACCCACAGCGAGACGGGACCGCCCCTGCCGCACCAATCGCTAGGCGTCGGTGGTGATTGTGCCTCTGCTCGACTCTGGCCCGCCCGGCTCGAGCCGCGTTCTGCAGATTGCGACCCGGCTGCTGCCGAGCCTGCTTGCCCTGGGCGGCATCGTGCTGCTCACTGTCGCTCCGGAGGAGGTGCCACCGGGATATGAACGTCCCTGCACAGAAGAGAGCACCTGGCGATCGGCGACACCACTGGGAAGCTGCCTCGCCCGGTGCTCTGCAGGTGGATGCACCCGCCGCGGACCGCGACGCCGCCGCCTACGGCATCGGCCTCTCGCTGGCGTCGGCCGCCTTCTACGCGCTACACACCCTCCGTCTCTCCGAGTTTGGCGACGTCGACCCGACGGCGCAGGCGCGGGCTCCCTCCCCCCCTCCCTCCCCCTCCCTCCCTCCCGGCACCGCACCCCCCTCTCCCTCCCTGCAAGCAGCCTGCATCTCTTGAGAGCGAGAGAGCGGAGGGCCACGTCAAGGATGGGCTGCCTCCCTGCCTCCCTGCCTCCCTGCCTCCAGGCGGCCGGCCAGGTGGTCGCCAACGCGCTCCTCGACCTTCTCGCCCTCCCGCTCGGCTTCGGGCAACCGGCGCACCTGTGGCTCTCGCAGGCAGGCCCGCCCGCGGTGAGGCGCCTCGGAGCCGCAGCGCTCTGGAACGGGCTGATGGTAGTGGGCGCGACGACGTGGGCAATGTCGTACGCGCAGCAGGCCGTCGCCGCCTCGACGGCGGCGCTCGTGTACGCGATGGAGCCAGTCTGCGCCGCGCTGATCGCCGCGCTCGTCTTGCACGAGTCGCTCGCTCCGCTGCAGATCGCCGGCGGGGTGCTCGTCGTCTTCGCTAACGCCGTCGCGTCGGGGGTTTGGCGCGGCTGAGTGTTTATTCGCCCCGTTTCTCCTAGCGTTTCTTCTTTACGATAAAGAGGCGTAAGTGGCCGCGAGTCGCCGAGAGGTTTTCTGCGTGCTGAGCCTGAGGTTCATCTTGGCTGCTGAGAGCTTAAACCTTAATTCGCTCTCACTACACTACACACTAGACAGTCAAGACTGGTAGACACTTTCACTCCGCACACCCTGGTAGTACTATATACCTGTATACACTCTGACACTAGTCCATTCCTTTCATCGTAATCTCAGTCCCGCCACCGCCGCCAAGGCCGCCTCCGTCGACCGCCTCCGATGCCGTCACCTCCGCCGCCCAATCCTCCACCACCGCTGCCGCCTCCACCCTCTCCCCGTCTCGCGAGACAGCCAGGCCCAGGGCCGAGAGGAAGGACGTGACGAAGGGGATTTTCGCCGTGCACCATTTGAAAGGAGGGCATGCGTTCGTCGCCCGTACGGACATGCACGATGAAGGGATTGCACGTGACCGCGCAAGCAAAGTATCCTGCTGTGAGTAGCTTGTGGGTGGAAGGCAAGGCAGAGGGTAGCAGCCCGCCGAAGGAGGCACCGGACGTTGCAGCGAGCATCAGTACGCCGAGCCTCCCATCTACTTGTCTGTCAAGGTCACGGATCAGATCTGCTGGGGAACTAACCAAGACTTGGATGAGACGCAGAGACGGGGTAACCAAGACTTGGATGAGCGACAAGGCGAGGCGAAGCCTGATCTAGGTTGGCGACGGCCATCGCCGCGAAGCCGGTCGCAGAGGTGGCGAGGAAACCCGGTTTGGTGAAGAGTTGGTTAAGGCAAGGGACCCCCCCCCCCAGGAGAGGGGCCGCACATTGTTGGGTCCCCCCCCGGCACCCTTAAGCCCAGGGCGGCCCCCCCCCCCCCCCAGCAGCAGCGTTCTGCTGTGCTGGGGGGGTCGGGACCCCCCCCCCAGCAGCAGCGCTCTGGCGCTCTGCTGCTGGGGGGGTCAGACCCCCCCCCCTAGCAGCAGAGCTCTGCCTGTGGGGGGTACTGGCATCTCTGTACAGTCAGCAGCTGTAAGTAGCATGCGTTCCAAGTGGCGAGAATTTATGGTCGGCATCAAAATCAGTGGTCTCACCGGCGGGCCCTCCTACTGCCAGCCGGGCGGTACGGGGCACGCCAGCCTCTCTTCTACGCCTCTCGTGCCTCGCGGCGCCTCTGCTTCAAGGAGGGAAGATACGGCTCTCGCAGCTGTGGCACAGCGGAGAGCACAACGGGCGGTACAAGTCCATCAGATATTGTTCCCTATCTTCGCATGCTCGTTGTTGGTGATATCCGCGCGAGATCATACGCCACAGGCCAGCAATCACTCGGCGATGAGACTACTGATTTGGCGCGACGCTCTGACACCGAGTGTTGCTCGACGCTGCGACACCGCCGAGTACCGCGTGCAGCGCTCAACCTCGCGGAGTACACCTCTCGCTATCATCCCGCTTCGCGGCGGTCGGGCTGCTTGATTTGTCGGAAGACACCCACATCTCTGCTGCTGGAGGAGAGCTTCCGATAATCATAGTGGGTTCGCGATGGACCAGCCAGGGGGGCGGCGGCGGCGAACAGGCGGCGAAGAGGCGGGAGCTGGGTCCAGTGCGCTCTGCTGCTGGGGGGGTCGGGACCCCCCCCCCCCAGCAGCAGAGCTCAGCTGATGGGGGGTTCTGGACCCCCGCCCAGCAGCAGAACTCTGCTGCTGGGGGGGTCAGACCCCCCCCCCTAGCAGCAGGGACGGGCTTAGTCCTTAAGTGCAGATGGGGTACCGAGCAATATGCGGCCACTCCGAGGGCGAGCGAGACCTGGATTGATGCGTGCACGCCCAGACGCGCCGGCAGCTGCCACGAGCGCAAAGCAAAGGGTAGCGACGCCGGCGTGACCGGCGGCGAGGGCGGCAGGGAGATAGCAGTCGTCCCGCATGGCCGTGATGTCGCTCTGGGAGAAAAACAGCTCGCAACCATCGTCGTCAGCAGCGACCGCGACCATCGTCGTCAGCAGCGACCGCGGGGGGCGGCTGAGCTGCTGTGGACTGCTCTGCCAGCGGCGCGGGCGAGGACATTAGAGGCGTCTCTAGCAGCTTCATCAACCCCCCGTCGCTCGTTTCGGCGGCCACCGCGCTCACCAACTCACCCGTCCCCGCTCGAGCCGAAGCGCAGAAGCGAGCTGCCTCGAAGGGTCGGCGCCCGAAACGTTGGCGTTGTTTGCGAGCGTGCCGCTCTGGCCCATGCCTCGCAGCGCGTGGATGAGCTGCGCGGGCATGCCAGGCGTCGGGACCGGGACGAGGGTCCTCCGGACGAGAAACGCGATCTCGGAGCCAAACTCGGCGGGAAGCCGGGGCTAGGCCTTGGAGCAGGGCCGACGTCTCATCGCGCAAAACGATCAGCCTGAGGCCACAAGTGTCCGCCGTCTGATTGATCACGCGATGCGGGGGCCAGAACGGCGGATTTGTCCTCCCCTCAAGATTCCACATACCCTCTGCGCGCGAGCGAGTTTTTCGGGGCAGGCAGCGAGCTGTCCAAGACGCGGATGCGGCAGCAGGGCACTATAATGGGCCCCTCCCGGCACGCGGCGCAGAAACGATCGCGGAATGCAGGCGACTTTGGCACTACCAGGGGACAGCGGTCAGTCTTGCAAAGCTGTGCGCCCCAGCAAAGGTGGGCCTGGTGGGCCGACAGCGCCGAGCGGTATGGGGCCGCCGTTTGGATTTTTGGCTGCAAGAAGGTGTCCTGGCTGCATACCGCACAGGAGGAGGCCGGCGCCTGTTGAACCATCGCGGCGAGAACGCGTTCCGGCGCTGCGTCGGGTCGTCCTCGCTCCATGGTTGCGGCCACAGTCCGCACGAGGCACGAGGGTGCTCTCGGATCTCTGGACACAACCCCCTTCACTCATGACACCTCTGCCGCGTGCCAGACGAAAAGTTGGTGGATCCCTTTTTGCTTCAAGGGATTGTTTGATCGAGGACGGAGGTTGGTCCGTGTTCTGGGCGTGAGGTTAATGTATAATGACCGCCTCCAAGTGCTTCAAGTGTTTACTTTACGGCCCTTTCCCTGTGCGAACGCGCACCCCCCCAGGGCTACGTCCTACGAGGCTCGAGGGCTCTAGACGCTCTCTAGCCTCTATATAAGTCTATATAGGCTCTAGCCCGTAACCCGATCCCGATCATCTGGCCCGCAGGTGTGCTTTATTTAGCTCCCCGGCCCTATGTGAGGCTACCGACTGCACTCCAAGTGCTCCAAGGTCTTTCGCATCGTCGAAAAAAAAGTTCGGTGTTCGGGGTAGAGACTTTAGAGTACACATGTAGCTGCCTCTTGGCCCAGTTGAGGCACACACACGCGTCCCGCAGGGGCGGGCGGGCGGGCGGGGGCGGGCGGGGGGAAGGGGGGAACGGCGCACGGGGACGGGGAGGAGGAGTCGAGGAGAGCGCGCACGCGAGAGAGAGGAGAGGAGAAGAGTGAGTCGGAGAGCAAGCGAGAGTGTTTATGTCAGTCGGCGATCGAGAGGCTCAAGCGGGCTGGGCGGACGGAAGAGCCTCTTCCTTCGTGGCAGTCGTGGCGGATGCCTCGCCGGTGCCTGGGAGAGGCGGAGGTGGGGAAGGTGCTCAACACGGCGCCCGCCTCGCTGTCGAATGCCGCTCCTCGCGTGCGCGCAGCTGAGTGTGCGGTGGGCGGGGCGGGCGGCGAAGAGCGGTGAAGAGACAGGTAGAGGCTGTCTCAGCGCGGGCGGTTGTGGCGGCGGCGCCTGTGCTCGGCAGCGAGAGGTAGTCCGCCTCGCCGCTCTCCTCCGCCTGGAAGAAGAGCGACGGGTCGTCCTCCATCGCCGCCAGCTCCGCCTAAAGTGAGAACGCCCCCTGCGCCCTCACACAAGCTGTCGGGTGGCCTCCCCCTCGCCGCCAGCTGCCGTCGCCTCGAGGTCGGCGTCGTCCACGTCGTCCTGTGCGTAGCTGCGGCCGAGAGTCGATTGTATCTCCTCGGCCTGCTCCATCATGTCCGCCATGTCGTCCTACCGGCGGGAGAGGCGGCGGCGTCGGCGCGCGAGCGAGCGGCGCAAGAGCCGGCGGGGGGCGCCGGCAACGGTGGTGGTGGTGGCGGGTTGGTGGGGGGTGGGGGTGGGCGGATTGGGCTGGGTCCGGACGGCGGGGGGAGGGGGAGTCGGCGGCGACGTTGCCTGCAGGTCTTCGATCTTACCGAGGTCCATCTTTTTGAACTCCTTCTTCATGTCCTTCAAGCCGGCCTTCATCGCGTTGACCGTGTCCTTCGTGTCCACGAGCGTATCCTTCGTGAACCCGATCTGGTCCATGTTGAACTGCTGCTGTTGCGTCCTGTCCCTCTGCGCCTCGTACCTGCCCCGCCGGCGAGCGCGCGAGCTGTGAGCGCTGCCGCACCGCCTGGCTTCACTCTCTGTGTCCGCTGCAGCCATCACCCTTGACCTGTGAACCGCGGGTTGGCCGGCGGGGCGGGCGGCGCACATCTTCTTTTGCTTGAGGATTTGCATGGCGCGCTTCTGCACCTGCTTCTTGGCGGGTCCGTCCTTCATGTTCTTCATCTGCGAGGGGCAGCCGGCGGTGAAGAACGAGCGTCAGCTGATTCAGGAGTGGAGCTGCGATGCTGGCGCTCGGCGAGGCGAAGAGGCCAGCGGTCGCGGTCTCTCCCCCGCCCACGCCGCGACAGCGCCGCGCGCCTGCGAAGTGTAGCGCGCGAGCTCCGTCTCGAGTTTCTGAATCTTTCCATCGATCCCGTCCGCGCTCGCGCCAAGCTTTTGTGAAATATCGGCGGTGGTCGGCGCAGGAGCCTTCGGGGTAGCTTTGCCGAACAGCCGCGATGCCATCGCGTGCGGTGCGATTCGAGGCGAGTGCGAGCGGGGCGGCGGCCGAGAGCCCGACCGAGAAGAAGAGCTTTTCTTCCTTGGTCGCTGCTTGCTTTAAGGGATCCCAAGGCTCCTGGGTGCCGGTGTGTGTGTGATCTGGATCCTGTGAGGGTCCGCCCGCAGGCGCATTTTGTATACCGAGCGGTGCCCGGTGCCGAGCGCAGGCAGAGCCCACAGGTCGGACCTTTAAGACAGCGTTGTCCTGGGCGAGGCACACGCCGAGGGTGGCAGGGGCGGTGATAGGAGTCTCCCACTGTGGGCTTCGCTAGAGGTGCGGCCTACGCATGTCCTCGTCCTACCTTGAGGTCTTGGAGGGGGAAGGGGAAGGGGCTGTGTGTCTGTGCATGCATGTGTGTGTGTTTTGTCTATTTTTTTTGTAAAGGGTCCGGGGAGAGCGGCATTGTGCACGGTGCGGAGTGCATTGCCGTTCTTAACGGAGTCGCTTAGGCGGCTCCGGTGGTGAGCCGGTGTGTGTGCCAGTCCGCGCCCCAGAGTCTGCGCCCTTGTCGTGCCAGTGTGCTGTGAGAGAGGCTTGGCTTCAAGAATCCTTTAGTTAGTGCCAGTGCGCGCCAGTCCCGTGCCTAGTGTCCTGCGAGAATGCCGTGGGCGGCGGCGGCGTCGGCAAAGGAGGCGCTGGTGAAGGCAGATAAGCCCGGGGGGGGGCGCGCCGTGCCCGAGGGCGGCCTCGTCGGTCGGGCAGCGGGCGATTGCAGGGCAGCCGCCGCAGGCGAAGGCGCCAGCAGGGAAGCCGGTGGCCCCGGCGGCAGAGCAGCCGGCTGCGGCGCCTGAGCTGCCGCCACCGCCGCCGCCGCCGCCGCCGCCGCACCCGCCGCCGCGAAGCGCGGGCTAGGGAAGCGGGGTGCGCTGCCTCTTGTCCGCGCCCGGCGCGAGTAAACTCCCTCCTCGCCGCGGCGTCTCGGGGGCTCCGCGGGCTCGCCTCTTTCTCTCCTCGGCCAGTCTGTTCTTCTCGCGATTCGCGTCGCGGATGCGGGATGGCCAGCGCCGGCCCGAGCAGGTGCGCCGGAGCCAGGTGAAGCAACCCCATTTCCCCCTCGCAACGAAGCCACTGAGAACCTCAGTACTGGGTCGACAAAGTGGCAAAACCAACCGATTTCTTTGTAAGGAATGGTGTCAGCCGCCATTCTTCTAGCGCCGTAGCCGCCGCTCTCGCCCACCGCTGATCCCAACGTCGCTGCCGCTCTCGCCCACGCAGGGGAAGAACAACAATAAGCCGGTCAAGCGCCCATCGGCGCCCGTCGACGCCGAGGTCGAGGAGGGCGAGAAGCCCTTCCACAGCTCGGTGTTTGAGCAGGAGCGCCTCAACAGTCTGATCAACGCGCCCGAGAGGCAGACATGGGACGAGTTCAAGGAGACGCTGCGCAAGAAGGGCGAGATGGATGGCGACGAGACGCGCCTGCAGGAGGAGGCGCAGCGCCGCTTCCGAAAGGAGCTGGATGAGGCGCGCACCACAAGACGCGTCTGCGATCGGAGAGACGCTTGAGCGAACGCATCCGCGACGCCGCGCCTGCACCTGTGCGCCTCTGGCCGCCTGCTGAAGACCGTCGCTACGCGACGTGAAGGCCGCACAAAAGTGGCACCCGAACCCCGCACCCACCGCAGGCGCGCGCAGCGAGGATGGGCGACGGCAAGGGCGACTCGTCAGCCAAGGAGAAGCGGAGCAAGAAGGAGAAGAAGGGAAAGAAGGAGAAGAAGGAGAAGCGGAAAAGGGAGAAGAAGAAGAAGCGGCGGAGGGACGCGTCGGACTCGGACTCGGACTCGGCGGACGCGAAAAAGAAGAAGAAGAGCAAGGACGGCGGGTCGGGCGGCGGGCCGGTGCGGCTGAGCTCCTTCTTCAACGGCAGCAGCTCGGACTCCGACAGTAGCTAGCGTCTGGTATCTCCTCGTACATGTCATGCTTTTAAAATCAAGCGAGTAATCGAGATCTCTGCGAGAGAGTAGTAGATCGCAGACAGTAGATCGCAGACCAGGAGTGGAGATCCTAGCCGATTCTACCACACAGTCGGGCTTGGTTGAAGATGAAAGATTGAGATCACAGATTGTGGATCGTGTTGGCAGTTGCCAGGGTCAAAGGTGGAGATTGGAGATGGAGAACACAGATCGTAGATCCTCGCGCCGGGCATCCACCACTGGGGCGGAGATTGGAGATCGAGATTGGAGATTGGAGATCGCAGCTGGCGGCGGCAGGGGTCAAATGGGAGATTGGAGATCGGAGATCGGAGATGTGCGGTGTGAATGAATCCATAGCGCATCTCCTTGAAGGTTTGAGCCCCCCCCCTCCCACGGCCCCCCGAATCGAGATTGGAGATTGGAGATTGGAGATGGAGATCGGAGATCTGAACTGGATCCGGCAAAATATGACGCTGGAGATTGGAGATTGGAGATAGAGATTGGAGATCTGACTGGATCCGGCCTAAGATGTGTCGACGCTGGAGATTGGAGATTGGAGATTGGAGATTGGAGATCACAGAGGCCGCTGTGATGATCTTTTTTTTTTTTAAAGGTTACTGGTGCGCGGACGGCCCGGGGAGCCTGCGGCGCCATTTTAATCTGCGCTCCTCTTTATGGCCTGCGGCGCCTGGCTTGAGCTAGGAAGTGTAAACGAGTCCGCCAGGGCGGTATGCAAACACGGAGCGCGCTGCGCGCGCGGTCTATGTACGCCGAACTGGGGGCGTTATCGTGTGGTTCGCGCTGCCATCAACAAATAATTTTGTGTGAGGGGGGGGGAGGGGGGGTTTTTTTCCTACTTTTCTCCTGTCTTTTCCTTTTTTGTCTTCTTCTTTTTAGTTCTAGTTCCTCGTTGCTCTGTCTGCTCGCTTCTCTCTTTTTTGTTCCTAGTTCCATTCTTTTGTACTTCTTTCTTCTCTTCTATCCTCGCCTTCTCTCCCGCACCTTCATTCTTCCTCTTTACTAGTACATCTTATTTCGTATTTCCTTCTTTTCTGCTTTTCTTCTCTTTTTGTT